AAATAATATTCAATTACAAATTACAATTATTTACTAGTTCTTAAAGTTTTAACTAACATTTCCAATACAACATACTAAAATATATTATTTCCATACTTCCCTATTATAAAAAATTATTATTATATATCTATTCTGTCACAATAAATCGTTTTCCATGCTGATTATGTTATTTTCATATTATAATAAAATCATTTTTTAACTAATATCATAAAACAAAAAAAAACAATGGAAAATGTAAACACAATTAATAAAGTTTTATACTTCCATCTTAGGTACGTGTGGTATGATTTTTGCGTCGTTAAATATTATTAAATTGAATATAATTTTCGGTAATCGATCGATACAGAAACGAGGATAAAACACAACCAATCGAACTAACAACAACTGTCAAAATGAAATTACGTTATCGAGTTTAGATAAAATCGGTTCACCGAATCGGTCAGTCTGGCCCCGATAACGCGGTTTATATGTTAATTATAGAATAGTCGCGGTCGTTTGCCGATCGGCAACCGACAAAACGCATAGTGTGATCTGGTACTTTTAGTAATGACTAAATATGACGAAATATAAGATTTATGTTTATGATTTTTTTTTTACAATAAAATAATTTCATGGATACAAAAATTTTTGTATAGATACTTCTCCCATATTTTTCTATGGTTAATTATAAGTCCCTTTGGAACGCGAGGCCCTTTGAGGTGCGAGGCCGTGGGCAATGGCCCACTTCGCCCACGCCTAGCGCCGCCACTGATCCAAACATTAAAAATCTTATCGCAGTGTATGAGCTGATATTTAATTCCTCACAAAGTCAAAAGGTTCTCATAGTTTTTTATATTTTTTAGAAAAATTCAATTAATAGATTTCCTGGGACTAATGTTGTTATTATCTCTGTATTAGCGCAGATAATCATTGAAGCGTTACAGTTTGACGTTTGTGATGTACTTGCGCACGTGTGTGTGAATGGATACGCGAGATATAGTTTATGCGTGTACTAAACGAGCACATTAAATAATTTTTTATGGGCTCATAAACTGAAAGCAGTCGCGGTGCTGTTTATGCCCGGGAAATTTATGACACTAACTCATTAACCCCCTCCCCGGCCTCTAAAATCGCCGACGCCGCCGGTGGGGCCTCATCCCCTCAAAAATGTTCACGTACCCCTTAAGTTTCGACAGGCCGATGTATTTTAATATCAATCAGTAATACTTTAAAAAAAAGTATTAGGAAAACTATTCTTAAACCAATTTATTAAATAATGAAGTATATATTTTAAGTTTCAATGCAAAGATGAAAAGGTATTAATTTTTTTAGTTAAATATTGGCTTATTATTTTGACTAAGTTTGTCTTTTATAAATGTTAATATAAGAATAAAACAATAATTAAATTTTGAAAATCTTGAGCTATAAATTATAATATTTATGATACAAGAAGTTACATTAGATATTTCAGGAAAAAAGCGTTAAAGTCATAGTAAGAGCTATAATCAATTAGAGTTAAAATAGGAACTAAATCGTGACAATTTATGTATTGTTAAATGAATTATATGTTTATAAGGTTTTCTTCAGTATAATATGTATATTCTATATTTATAAATTGACATTTTTTAATTTTTTATGACTAACCCAACTTTTTATTTTTGCTCATCAATATTTATGCAAAAAGCGAAAAAAATGTTTAAAAATACCCCTCTGAAAAAATCCACTTTCCATGCCACTACCTGACATCAACATAGTTAATCCAGTTTTGCATGTGATTCACAAAAACTCTCTGGACAAATATTAAAGTAAAACGGTAGAATAGTGGGGTCACAACACGTGTGGACGTGGCATAGCTGGACAAGTATAGTTGATATCTGACAGTGATTAAAATCCCTATCATAAGGAACGCTTTGATGCAAATCTGTAGTGTTTAATTTAAAGAAATTGGTGGATTATTCCAAAAGCAAAATGAACTCCTATTTTCATATTTATATCCTGAATACAAATTTTATGATATACAAGTGTATTGTATGAATAAATATTTAATATAATTTTCAATGACGGCTATTTGCACATAGAAGGTTGATCGTAGGGAATTTTTTTTTTTCAATGTTTAATGGCAATGTCTTCAACTCGATACGATATGTGATCTTTTGATGTATCGTTGAAAGAAATCGGTTCGATGAAAGCTGAGAAAATGTGGCAAAAAAAAAACACATCGTAGTAAAATTAATACTTTCTCAGCTTCGCATCAAAGCTACAATTTATATTAAATTTATACAGAAGAGAGTAACTAGGAAGTGGAAATCATTGTATATATTATCACTTCTAGTAGTTTGATATAGTGAAAACTTGTATTATTTTCAAGTTCAAATAGACACATATCAATATTACTAAGAACATATGATTAAATAAAAAATAGTATTTGAATTAAAAGAAGGCAATTTTATAGGGTAGCAAAATTTACCCATTTAATGAGCAATTAGTACTCCAAAGAGAATTTTAACATGCACTAATGCATATCACAAAAAGAACAACAAATTGTTATCTTTACAGCTCCACTTCCAGGATATGATAACGATTAAAAGTGAAATGTAAACAAAAGTAAAAATCTAACTTAATTTACTTTACAGTACATAAAGGATAAGAATTAACAATAATTTTATAAATTGTCTATGGCGATACAATGAATTAATGATTACATAGAAGGCAATTAGTGAAATAAAATTATGTGGGCTCCAACAAAGAATAATAAATATGGTGTTGGTAAGTAAATCTTATATATATATATATATATATGCAATTGTATATATAATATATAAAATTTCGTTCATGTTTTGAATTTTTTACTGAAATTTATGTAATATTATTTAGCTATCTATAATTGGCATGGCGATAATCTATACGGATTACAACTTGAAATTGGAGACACCGTACAAATTCTTGAACAGTGTACTGGTTAGTTAATAATATTCATTTAAAAGCAAAGAAAATTACAGCATTAATAGTACATTAATTTTTTATTTAGGGTGGTATAGAGGATTTGTTACCAAAAATCGATCTGTAAAAGTAATTAATGTAGTTTTAATCTAATACTTAATAATATATGTTATTTCTTTATTTTATTTTAGGGAATATTTCCATCTACATATATCCATTTGAAACCTTACCGTATTGAAAATGAAGGGTAAAATTAAAATTAATTTGTCTTAAATCTTGTTTTTCTGTGTCATAATATGCTGGTTTGTACAATTTAGGAACTTTGAAACTGTTATTCCATTAGAAGATTCTGTAGTCAGAGAAGTATCTTTAGTATTACGTGACTGGAATTGTATCTGGAAATCATTATATGTGGTATGTTATGTGGTATTTATATATATATATGACAAGCAGGTGTTGTTATTTTTATCATTAAACATTAATGATTAAAATTAATTAAAATTCATTAAAATTCATCCTGTATATATATATATATATTAAAATAATAATAACATATGAAATATTGGTATAAAAGTTGTTATCAACAGAAATTTTCTATTTTATAAGCCAATTAATTATGTAGGTTATTTTAAAAAATATATAGTTAATTTATAAAGTATAAAATATGAATATAAAAAAATATTTTAAGCAGATATATATAAATATAAAAAATTGAATTCATAAAAAAAACTATCATTTTAAATAAAATTAAATGGCTTGTATTATAAGAATCATTCAGTGTATATGTAGGGTGATAGGTTTATCATAAATCATTTGATTACTTATCTGATTTTATTTTTAATTTGATAGATTTAGTAATATATTTATATAATTATTTTATCTAAAAATTATATTAGAAGTATTATAAATATATATATATTTGCAAAATAATTATAATGAGAATGTTTGGTATTTTTAGTTACATATATTTTTTTATATATTACCTATAAATTACTTTTTAGAATCATCCTTTATATTTTATAGAGGTGTCAAGAATATTTTTTCAATCACAATGTACATAATTTACTAGCTTATTTAATAGATAAAGATATATTAAAACATAACTGATCAATAAAAACTTTTAGACCAGTACTTCAGTAATTATTCACATTTTTATACCATGGGCTGTAAAAAAAGTATAGTTAAAAAATGAATAGTGATAAAAAATAGCTGCACCCATTCCTCACCTCAAATCATTACTTTAAATTGATAATAAATTTTAAAATACATATCCAAAAATTGTTTCTGATCAGTCATTTTCTTAATTACTTCACTATCTATTAAAAAGCTAGCAGATTATGTATGTTGTCATTTAAAAAATTAAAGTTGACATTTCTATAATTTATAAGGGATGATTCTAAAAAGTAATTTATAGCTAATAAATAAAAAATATATATATAACCAAAAATCAAACAATTTTTTTCCAATATTATATTCATTTTGCAAATAATCGAGTAGTTTATGATAAACTGATCACTCTGTATATATGTACAGTTAAAATAATTAAATAAATTTATTACTAAATCTATTGAGTTAAAAATAAAATAAAACTTAAAAACTATAAACTATAAACTCTAAATGTTACATTATAATATGATCTTTTAAATCATATAAGTACTTCCATTGTATCCAATCATAGAATAATTAAACATGTTCATATCCAGAATTCCTAATAATGACTGTTGGATGAGGAAAATAAGGTAATAAAAATGAAAAGTCTTTATTGAGAATTTTATTTGCTTACACTTCATTCTCAAATTATTACTTTCAGCGAGAGGGTATAGTTCTCCTGACTTCACAACTAGTTTATAGTATTTAAAATTATAAAAATGGTCATAAATAAATAAAATAAAATAATGAAAAAATGTGTTTATTGTTTTAAATAAAATAATTAAAACATTTTTAGGAACGAGAGACTTATAAATTTATTACTCTGCGAAAAGTAATGCGAGAGTTGTTAGATTGGAGAAAGCAATTGTTGACAGGGACATTAACTCAAGATCAAACAAAGGAATTAAAATTGAAAATAACAGCCAAAATTGATTGGGGAAACAGGTAAATAATTAATAATTTTTTAACATTAATTTATCAAAATCTTCTAGTATTTTTACATTTAAACAATGCATTGATAATTAATATTATATTTAGTTTAATAAATGTATAAGAAAACCTTTACAAGTATATATAAATAATAATAATAATATTTTAAAATATAAATAGTAAATTAACTAATTACAAAATTAATTTTTTACGTGGTGACTTTTTATTCAGAAGGAATATTATGGTGATTAAAACATTATGATACTTAAATATCATTATTTTTATCAGTGATAGCACTAAATATTGTATGGCCCATTGCAATGGGTCATACAATATTATGAAAAAAGTGAAAAATTTAGCACTTTCATCAATCTAAAGTCCCTCACCTTGCTATTATGAACAAGCATGTACCCAGAGTTCCACCTGATTCACCATAATTCTACCAGAAATTTTTTTTATTTAATCTATTATTTTTTTATTAGGGAAAATATTTCAAAAAATTATTATTGTTGAAACTGGCTAAATATGAATTTTATTTTATAATTTAAAATGAATATAACTTAAAAAAAAAAGGTAAAAGTTGAAAGGTAAATTCTACAAGACTGTAGTAAGACCAGCTATGATGTATGGTTCAGAGTGTTGGGCATTTGATAAGAAAGTAGAACAGAGAATGAGTGTAGCAGAGATGAGAATGCTTAGACGGATGAGTGGAGTGACTAGAGAAGATAAGATAAGAAATTAGCATATTAGAGGGAGTATAGCTGTAGCGTCAATTGTGGATAAGATGAGAGAAAATAGACTTAGGTGGTTTGGTCATGTTATGAGAAGAGAAGAATCAGAAGCCGTAAGAACAGTTATGGAAATTGATGTTGAAGGAAGAAGAGGTAGAGGAAGATCAAAAAAGAGATGGAGAGATGTTATTGAATGCGATATGAGGACATCTGATGTGAGTGTAGAGAATGTATCAAGTGGAAGTTTAGGATAAGGGTGGCCGACCCCAAGTAGTTGGGATTAAGGCGAGGAAGAAGAAGAAGATATCTTAAAAAAAAAAGAATTTAAACAAAATTCTAATAGTTTATTAATAAACAATTGTATTTCTTGTGATATGACATTTTTTTTAAATCCAATAAAAAATCTAAGTGCAAGAAGATTTTGAATACCACTCCATATATCAGTAATATTTTATCTACTCAAATATTTTAAAATATTTTGGAACTTCTGAAAATGTTTGTCGAATTATTGATTTTAAGAAATATTACATGATAACAAAAAGAAAAAACAAACTAATTGAGTGTTCTGTGTAAAATTAGCTAATAAAGGGAAAAACTACACTATTATTTTTAATTCTCTTCTATTTTTTGTTTTTTGTGCTAGTAAATACTTCCAAATACAAATTAACCTATTGAATTTTAAAGTTTTGTGATAGTGATGCAAATCACTGTCATATATCAATCTATACTTGCCCAACTATGCCACATCCTGACTTCACTGTATTTAGTTTTTTTTACTCTTTTACCTGAAATGAAGTATTAGTTCTGTAAGTTCAATTGGGGCTTAACCTTATAAGCCCTCTAGATACACCACTGCAAATAACCTCTGGTAATCTAGTATTTTTAATTATTTGTAAAATCAATCAATTCATTGTTCCTAAAAATTTTCATAATTAAAACAGTTACAAATTTATTTCATCCCATTCTGGCTTTATTCATATTCTATTTGAGCTGTTTGAAACTTTATACACTATAATTATTGCTAATTTATCTTAAATATTTAATTTACATTAAGAAAATAAAACAACATTTTAATTAAAATATATTTCTATTATATTTAATCAAATTATTTTAGGGACAAAAAAAATTTTATCACAATTAATTACAATTTTATTACTTAAGTGTTAAATTAGAATATTTCAGTTTATATTTATGACATACAAATTAATTTAATATAATAATAATAATAATAATAAATAAATAATAATTTTATTATCTAACATAAATTTTAGTGACAAACACTAATTGGTGATGATCAAATTTATATTTAAATATTTCTTTTTACAATGGTAAAACTAGTTTAATGTAATACAACAATGATTAAATGAAAATTTTGAGAACTTACAGGTTTCAAATATAAAAATTAAAAAAACATACAATTTAAATTTTAGTATATTTACATATTTTACTATCATAAAATTGTTTATGAACAAGGTCAATTGTTTATAACTTATTGTTAAATTAACAAATCCACATTGAAACTAATGAATTACTCTATGTTTAAAAACAAAAACAATTATTGATACATTAATTATGTACGTTCAATAATATCTAATATAAATGGAATGTTGCATAAATTATTATATGAAGAATTTTGATGAACACACAACTAGGAGATTTCAATAATGTCAATTACAAAATGTTTATCAAGGAAAAATAAGAAACATTTGTTTAAGGTTTTTATGATTATGCTTCTGTTTCTTTATGAAGTCTTAATTTATCCGAAGGATAGATAGGAGACAGCTCTAATGTTGAAGGAGCCGTTGGTAAATTATTGCCAAGGTGTAAACGCTCACTAAGCTCATTTAAAACATCGGTAAATTGTAACATATTCATATTCTGGCCTAACAAATGCAGTAGCAAGAAATCACCAACCTGGAAAAAAATAAGGTTCAAAATTGTATTGATTGAATAAGAACCATTTAAATTAAAATGATAATTAACTAAAATGTATATGAATTGAACTTTCTATATTAATGAATTGTTATTAAGAATTTTTGAAATTTTATGCATAATAAATATGAGAAAAATAGTATGTTAATTCTAAATATAAATAAAAGCAATTTTTATTTTGGTCTTTCTTGCAGCAAAAAATTAAAAATGATTAATATTGTGAAATTAAGATGGATTACGTATTTGTATCAGATATGTAAATTAAATTAAATCATATAAAAAAAATTATAATGACAAGACATAAAAGTATTTTTTAATTTTGTAAATTTATAGACAATAAAATAATTATGAAGTTTTAACTTTACCTGTGTTTTTCTTATAAGTGCTGATACAGTTTGAGGAGTACCAAATTTGAAACGACGGATTAATATTGTTTCTCTGATTGAAGGTAGAGTTATAACAGCAATACTGTATGCTAATGCAAAACCTGACATAATAGTTAGCATAATGAACCAAAACCACAGAAAGATGTAAATTTTTTCATTCAAAATATTCAAAGCCAATACACAGAGAGCATCATGGGCTTGAATAGTACCAGAAGGACCAAACTTATGGAATGTACACTTAGTGACTCTTGGAAAAACTGCAACCATGGGATCATATCGATTTTCTTGGTCCATATTACTAAGCTCTAAGACTTTTGTTCCATAAGTAAAGAACTCCCCACCTAAGAAACTATCAATCAGGAACATATTTCCAATCACATTTAATAAGTTGAAAATCTAAAATAAATTTGTTTCATTTAAGCTAATTGAATAAAAATGTTACAAATTTAATAAATACCTCACACAAGAAATAACCGGATGCATATACATTATGCATGTGTAAAGTGTCAATTAGATATTGCACTAATTGTTTTTGACGATTTTGTCTTTCTTCGGTGTGTCCAATCGTAGTGCCACGAACACCATCAGTAATCAAACGAATTTTACCTTCTTCCCAGTTTTTCCACAGCCAATGTGGTACATAAAAGAGGATACCTTGGAAAAACAACATAAACGGTACCCATTGGTAATATGAGTGGTACCGCACTTTATTTTGTTTGTCTACATAGCTTGATACACCAGGGTGGGCTACATGTGTTCCTATACCTTTTCCAAGTTCGTCTGGCAATGTAAATGTATGGGTAATCCAGCAAAAAGTATTAATGACGTGTTCAGGAATAGCACCATCTGTTATACATGAAATTGGATCACCTGAAAATTAGTTTATTTAAGAATATTATAGGTATCATTAATGATATATTTTAAGTCATTTTTGAATGTTACTTATGTAAAAAAAATTTTAGATAATGTTTTATATATTATTCAACACTTATTATTTGATTGTTCGTAATTCATTGTGTTTAATTTGCTTGAATTAATGAAATGTGTTAAGGAACTGCTATCCTAAATGTCAACTCGTCCGCATGCTCGTCATAATAATGTAGGTCCAGGGTCAATTAAAAGGAATTGCTTGGTTTATTACAACAACAATAAAGCTGCGTTCACTCAGACCACTTATTGTGTACAAGATGTTTTTTGGTTTGCAGACATCAAAATATAAATTATAATTCTACTCACCGATTAAATTACTCGCCGTGACCAATATGCAACAGGCAAACAATATCGCTGTTGTCAACCTGTAGTGAGCTCGGAACACGAAATTGTCTATGTTGGCCTTGTCTACCAGGTAACGCACCTTAATGAAGCCGGCCAAAGCCGACAGCAACGCTAATATTGCCATTGTCGTCTGTCAGTGATCTACAATAATAATATTATTATTATTATATATCAACAATGGTGTCAGATTGGAAATATCGCTGCCGAATAAACAAAATATTATATAGGGAAAATACGGGCAGCCCGGATTAGAGCACGGCAACAGGTATCACAATTCCTTGGTTCCGATGTCAACAGCCTCATACTGCGTTGCCAGTTCTCCCACCTTGCTCTTCGACCCGGGTCGCCTTCTCAGTCAGCGAATGCCACAGTCTTCTGTCTTATTATTACACTCAGAAACTGGTTTTCCAACCTGGTGGCACGCATACACTAGCAGGCGCATAGTTGTACCTAGCACGTAATTCTGCGTTTTTTCCTCTCTTCGGGGAAATAAAATTATGCATATAAATGACTCATTTCAATCTCGCTGATCAGTTATAATTCTCATCGAACAGAAGTAAATAATAATTTAATTTCTTGATTTTCTACGAACCGAACGAGAGCATCGAGGATTTGATATTTAAGAAAGGTCATCGGAATTACAGTAAATAATAATGATAAAAGCATGAATAATCACAATTAGCGAAAATAATAAAAAAGAAACTTGATGTGGAAGCAAAAACCATGTGCGAATGTTTGTGAACGCGTAACACGGCGCCAGTGCAGTGGGATAAATAGTGTGCCAACAGGTGTTTTGAGCGATTACGAACAATGACTGTAATATTTTTTAATGTAATACTAAGAATAGTAATAATTTTTAACGTGACATACATAGAAATCTCTAAAATTATACATGTTGAAACTTGAAAAAAAAAACCCATTCGAGAAACGTTTTATAAAGGATTTATTATTTTAATTGACTACAACGTACCAGTCTTTTAAACAGTAGTGGTTTTTGATGATATTGCGAAAATCAGACGAATTCAAAATCACTAAAAACTGCGGTTAAAAAATGTTTTCGTTCATTTATGAATTAGCGCTAGTACGCGCCTCGTCGGTGTAATCGGCACAATCGTTGTTGTTACTACTATTACTAGCACCGACTACTCATGTTGAATTTGTGTTTAATACGGACTGATAGTTTATGGTGGTGGGGGTAGAAGTGTTGGTAGTGGTGTTAAACGGTGCGGTGGTTTGGTCGAGTTAGTCACATGCAGTCGCCCTGTACGCTGAGAACCGGTGTTATGTGGGAATCCCAGTGGATTGTTATACAGAGCGTACCGGCGACACGGTCTTTGTTGTCTACCACAAAGATCAACTGAGATTTGCCGTTGTTGCAGCTCTTCGTTGTCTTGCCTAAGTGATGATTTTTGTTTACAATCGAATAATCAGTTGATTCTTATTTTAAGAATTTTAAAATCGTTTTAAAAATAAAAAGTAAAAAAATTCATCCGCTTGGTCGCGCATGTCTGTGGCTGGATAGTCAAGTACCTTAAATAGTGGTTGCGTGGTGTCAGCTCCGGAATGTTCTGTCGTGGCTTATATATCATTCATTCATGCCGTATCTTATAGACTACAATGAATGTTTGCATTTCCTTTTAAGTCTGTGGGCGACGCGAGACAGTAACAGCTTGAAAGAGCATGTGAACTGAATTGCTGAGAATAAAATATTATGAAAAAAATTTCCCATCATTTTTTTACTCAAATCTTAGACCTATAAAAACGTTGATAATATATTGGTAGAAATATATAGCTATATAAAAACATTGCTTAAATAATAAGTAAAATACTTTCTCAGTTTCGCATCGAAGCTAAAAAAAGGAAGTCATTACCTCGCCCATTCATCTGTTTTGGGTCCATTCAAATTTTAATTATCTTACAATGACTATCGCTAATTATACTAATGTGTTTGACAACTATTTAGTAATCATGTTTTTTTGTTAAATTTTTGCTACCGTTTATTTACCACATGAAACATGTACATATAATAATTCGAAAATAATTTAGATGTATCACAATTCATTTGATTTTTCTAATCTATTTAAATTCTATACATTATTTAATTATAGTTTTATTAAATTTTTATATTATATATATGATCTAAAATCTCGTATTGTTTCTTGTTGGATCATTAATATTGATTGTATGTCTTAAACAATTTAAAACTACTTTTTAACGTAGTTATAAAAAAAAGTCATTAGAATACTTCAAAATATTTTGGAAACGTGCCAAAAACTGAATAGTACTTATTATTCATAGGATTGTCTAAAAAATATTTTTGAGTACATGACATTTGGAAGTATTTAAACCGTTTTTGTATACGAATCTAATATTGTTATAATTGAGGATTCTCAAATAATATTAATTCGATAAAAAAAAATAATAATGAAAAATTATGTAACTTTAAAAAAAAAAACTATTGACAATTGTAAGAGTTACAAAACTTATAATTATATTTTGTTAAATTATATATATTAAATCTGTGAAACGTTTATTTATTTACCTACTTCAACAAATTCTCAAGTGTCGACTTTTCTTGTTAACAGTAATACCGTAATCAAATGATAAAGATTTAATTTGCGCTCGTTTTAAAAATATGTTTACTTAGTAGATGTTAGCTTGTTCAACTGTATTGAACCCAAAGGCTACAATAATCGATAATTATTATAGAGTGAAAAAAGACAAATTTAGAAAACTAGTTATACTACAAATATTTTTAAAAACATTACAATATATATACCATGTTGTACAATTAACTAAAACTGTAACCAGGGGCATATTTTGAAATTTATAATAGAAGTTAACTCAGCTCCCATTAACTTTTTTATGCCCACCTGAAATAGACCAAAAAAAAATTCAATGAATAAATATCAAAACGGATAATAATACAAAACACTTTTAGTGACTTTTATTTAACTATGAAGATGATAAAAAGATCATAAAATATTTTTATATCAACATAGTATTGCCATTGACTATAACTAAAAATTACACAAGATTAAATTATTATCAATGTTATAACCAATACGAATTGTTTGATGCTAATAATAATATACAGTAATATAACACATTTTATGTAAAATAAATTGTATTTAAGGATATATAACTTATTTATCATTTAGTTTACTGAAAATTTTATTAAAACTTTTAATCATATTTTTATTACTTATAATTTATAATTAATGTGTTTAAGTTATTTTAATTGAAATTTTATTTTATTTTATAAAATATCTTTAACCCGAAATAATTTTTTCTAGAATCTTTACGAATAGTCTATTGTGTCCCCCCAAATTTTATTTTTATTATTTTCTTAATATTTAATTTAAAAAAACACGTTTACATATTTTGAGCAATAAACTTGTTATATGGTTTTTTTCTTTTTTAATATTCTGCGATTAAATTTATTTTTATCCGACGCAGTTGAAATAATCACAATTCTGATTATTCAGTTTCCGTTTCCATTAATTTAACTGAATAAAAATTGTTATAAGTTTCCTCTGTTAAACGTGGTCTGCTAATGTTGCAATTAAATAATATGTTATATTTCATTAAAAGGCAAAGATCAAAAATTTTGCAAATATTATTGTAAATGTTAAAAAAAATATTAATAATATTTAAAATATTAAAAAAGAAAAACACTTTATGGTTTCTTTTATGAATGATAAATAGAAAAATAATTTGACTAATAACTAAGAACTCTTGTTCAGTTTTAGTTACACGTCTGAATATTACAATTAAAATGATCATTTATACTCTAAATAGGGCGTATTTATAATTGGAATTTATTAAAATGAACGACAGAATTTTGGCATTGAAATGACTCATTGACAGCTATATTGCTGTTTCATTACGTTATGAACATGACTACAAGTACACTCTTTATACTTTACTTACGTGGACTTTGTTTTATCACAGTGTCACTAATGCCACGACGATAGAAGTTTAACTATGTATATGCGATCTACCTAATAAATAAACATTGTGATACGGTTATTCCATGGAGCTCCTGTTTGAAAAACATTTTATACGATAAACCAGTTATCGTTATTTGTTATAACAATCACTGTTTACAGTGAAGATAAGACATATAATAGTTTTTACATTTAAGTTAAGCTATAGTTTAGTTAAAATTGCAAAAAAATTAACTCAGGCAAACATATTGTATATTCGTGAATGCAGTATTTTAATGAGGAGTTTACCATGAGATATTTCATTTTTGCCAAACAGAAACTATATATGTCTTTGTTCTTTAATTATAACAATAATAATTTAAGTTTTCAGTAAAGTTCAAATAAAGATATGTTATGAAGAAATTATTTGTACTTTGTGGTATCATAATTGTGTAAAACAATTCTTGATGACGCGATATAAATATGCATAAAATATCTTGATAAAACTATTTATTTTAACTATTCTAGAATTGTTGTTACATAAACTTTGAATAAACGAATCTTAGACTTTTCTATTTCTTTCTTCTATAAATGATCAAGAATAAAAAATAATTTTAATAAAAAATATGTTTTATATCTATTTAAAATGTGTAGGTATAATTAAAATAAACTGCAAGTGGCATTTTTTATAAATTTCGGTGAAAGAGGCCTCATTCAAATCTCCAGAAAAGTAAAAAACCCCTATCCGCCCCTGTAATGTATAAAAATAAAAAATAATACATGCCAAAATACTTTTATACATTTTAATTAATTGATTTAAAAAATGTATAATTATTTATTTAGAAAACTTGGATTGGATTTAGTTCCGAGATGTAGTGCAGAAATGGTCGATCCGGCTACTATGAGTGCCGTAGAACTGTTTAAAGTTGTATGTATAAAAATTAATTACTTAGATAATATAAAAAATATAAGTTTTATTTTAATATTTTTAGCACGTTAAAAGTTCGGATAACATTCAAGGCGTTTCAGTAAGTATTAAAATTTTGGCTTAAAATTAATTGAAATACTTAACATTTTTGTTTAAAATTTAGGCGAGGGGTACTATAAGAAGACCTAAAGGAGTATCCAAAATACACACTCGTCATATGTTCATGTGCATGCGTGATTTTGGTTATCACACTGGAGAAGAAACTGAAGTGTATTTTTCTTTGTATGACGCTAAAAATTTCAAGTATATCAGGTAATTTTTGAAACAGTCAAAATATTTCTATTGCGTTTAGTAAAATTGATGTTAATATTTTCCAGTGAGAGATTTTTGGTAAAAATTTCAAAAGAAGGTTTTTCAAATTACATAGAAAAGTTGCACAATAATTGTACAATATTTACTGTGAGTTATTTTTATCATATGGCTGTGAATGTAAAGTAATTACTTTGATTTCAAACAGGATTTAGGATTACAAGACTTAGCTCGAGATCTGTATATAGTGGCACACGTAATGCGTTTTGGAAAAATGGTGTACTCCGAGTCTTCAAAAAAAGTTTCTATATCGTCTGCATCAATACCACCAGTATCTCACTTTAAACGTCCTTTAGGAGTGGCAGTTTTGAGTATAAGTGAGTTCTTGACTTCAGCATCATTTGAGGAGAAAGAGTTCACATTTCGCGTGTTTCAATCTGACGAAAAAGATTTTTGCCAGCTCCACGATACATTAATACGCAAACAAAACAATAAGTATAGTCCACTGTCTAGTCATCCCAACTATGGTATAGTCATATCCCTAAGAATATTGAATGGCGAATTACGTTGTATACGTGAAGAGAATCCTTTAGCTTTCAAAAACGTATCGACCACCAAGAAAATGGGCTTTCCAGACGTTATAATGCCTGGATATGTACGCAACGATCTATATCTAACTCTTGAGCGTGGCGAATTTGAAAAAGGTGGCAAGTCTACTGGAAAAAACATCGAAGTCACTGTTGTCGTTTTAGACTATGAAGGCAATATAGTACCCAATTGTTTATGGGGTGCTTCTGGTACAGACTCCTCTACCGAATACCGGTCAATGATTATATATCATCATAACGCTCCTTGTTGGGGCGAAACCGTACGATTGGCTGTACCAATTGAAAAATATAATATCGCCCACATTCGTTTTGAATATCGGCATTGTTCAAGTAAGTTATTTATTTTTTGTCCATAAATAAATTTCAAATTTCTTTTTAATTGTTCTTTTTATGAATTTTTTTTAGCTCGAGATAAAGCAGATAATAAAAAACTTTTTGGTATATCATTTGCGAGGTTAATGGAGCCTGAAGAGGCTACACTTCAAGACGGTTTACACGAGTTATTCATTTATAGATGTGATGAACGTACCAAACTTCGACCTGTAGATTACTTGAGTTTAGCTGCTAATGTACGCGAAGCTACAACATGGAATAGCATACCTGAACCTGGATCAGTATTTACATGCAGCCATAAAGAGATAATGACTATAAGAACATTATTGTGCTCTACAAAGCTCACACAAAATGGTATTTAATAACAATAATTTATGGCCTATTAGTAATTTATTCATGAAATCGGTTTTTTTAGTTGATTTGTTGTCATTACTTCAATGGAAAGAACACCCTCATCGGATTCAAGAGGCGCTCACTCGGGCATTACGCTTAGACGGAGAAGAGCTGGTTAAGTTCTTACAAGATGTTTTGGATGCTCTGTTTTCTATGTTTTCTACAGACGATGGAAATTCGACGGTTCATTCTGGACTCGTATTTCATGTACTTGTCAGTATATTTAGTTTACTGTATGATAGCAAATTTGAACATTTCAAACCAGTAATGAATGCCTATATTCAAGAACATTTTGCTGCAGCTTTGGTCTACAAGTAAGTTTTTTAGTTGATCATGTGTATGTTTGCACCTTAAGATGTCATAAATTGTTTATTAATTCTTTTCCTAACTGTTAGAGGTTTACTAAGTAGTGTTCAACATTGTGCAGAACTAGTCATGTCTACAGATAGACAAGAACCAATTCAAAAATGTTTTCGGTCTTTAGAATATATTTTTAAATTTGTCATCCAGTCACGTTTGTTGTTCTCTCAGGCTACAGGTGGTCAATTTGAAGACAGTTTTCGATACGATGTTCATCGTGTTTTTGCTTCATTAGATAAAATGCTTTGCTCATCATTTGAAATGATATTACCTACACAAGTGCATACAAATATCTTATTATGATTTTTCTTTTTTAACTAACATATGTGATTAATTATTTTAGATTGCTCTTTTACAAAGTTCCAGTGCTGTGTTTGATCAGTTGGTCCAAGTAATACCTATAATTGAAGTAGCTAAACTTAGTGTATCAATGTTGGATTGTTTACCTTCACGGGATTTACCTACACCATTAACTCAAGCTAAATTATGTGCAATCAGAGATTTAGTGGCTGGAAAAGTTTTCAAAGATGACGGTAAGTTAGTAGTTATAATGTAGCCATTTAAATAATGCTAATTAATTAAATTTTAGAAGCAAGAAATTTATTACTTATTACCATATGTAAACATCTTCGTCATCATATTAGTGCTAAAGAAGAAATTCAGTTATGCACAGATATCCTAGGAGATATATTGACATTTGTTTTTCATCAAAATAGATTACACGATAGTGGAAAAGTTAATATTTGCTCTAGACGAGACTTAGAAATATTAACACTTAGCACACTAGATATGTTGATTGAGACTTCTTTAATTGTCATAGATAGAATGGTCTCAGTTTTGGTTTGTATTAAAAAAAAAAAAAATACTTGATCTAATATTGTGTCTTTATTGTTTTTTTAAATTAAAATTAATCATTTTTAAGGCCAATATGGTTGCTTGTTTGGTTTCACTTCTACAACTACTTGATGAATATCATTACAAAAGACTTTGGGAAGAACTTGGTGATCGAAAACCACTAAAAGATTTTTTGTTGAGAGCATTCTTGTTGTTTAGGCATTTAATTAAACATGATGTGTTTCCTTCAGACTGGATGGTCATGAAAATGACTACAAATAATGTCATTTTAGCAGCTTTGCAACAGCTGTCACAACCATTAGTATTTTGTTTTTTGGAAACATGGCCTCATTTTGATTATCAAGTATGGTCGACTTATTTTAAATTGGCTGTAGCATTTCTTACTCAACCTGCACTTCAATTGGAGACTTTCACTAATGTCAAAAGAAATAAAATAATTGAAAAGTATGGTGATATGAGAGTGCTAATGGGGTATCAAATTTTGTCTGTTTGGTCTAAATTAGGTAATATTTATTTTAAAAAGTACTTTTATGATAGTTAGTAGTTTGATTAATTATTTAATATTATCTTATATAGGAGACCACAAAATAAATTTCATACCATCCATGGTTGGTCCATTTTTAAAAGTAACATTAGTACCGGAAGCAGAATTACGTAAAGCAACTTTGCATATATTTTTTGATATGATGGAATGTGAACAGAGAGCACGTGGGAATTTTAAAGAAGTGGAATCAGAGCTTATAGATAAATTAGATTATTTGATTAGTGAAAATAAAGGTGATGATGAATACAGACAACTTTTTAACACAATGTAAGATATCTTTAGAAAAAATATTTTTTTTACTAATACCTTAAAAAAATATACTAATATTATTTTTATGCTGCCTAAAGGGAGAACTTAAGTATTGTGTAAGTCAAAATATAATATTTTATGTAGTTACTAATTATAGATAACCACTGCTTTCATATACACTACTTTTTCTATAATATTCTAATTATACCTAAATGTTTTCTGAATTTAATTGTGTGTGGTTTACATTCTTTTAATTATTCATATACTATTTACCATTGAATTTATTTAACCTATTTAATATTCTATTAGTTTACTTGAAAAAGTACATCAAGAAGAACAAGATGGCAGTTGGCAAGAAACAGGCTCTGCTTTCATTCATTCAGTTACTAGGTTATTGGAAAGACTACTTGATTATAGAAGTGTAATGCGTGGTGATGACAATAGGGATAAAAGAATGTCATGTACTGTAAATCTTTTAAATTTTTACAAGAATGAAATTGATAGAAAAGAAATGTACCTGAGATATATCTATAAGCTACATGACTTACATGTGTCAGCTGATAACTTCACTGAAGCAGGATTTACATTAAAATTATATGCTGATCAGCTATCATGGACAGATGGCCCATTATTACAAGGTGATCCAATGACAAATGTGTGCCAGTGGCAAAGAAAAGAGCAGTTGTACCATGAAATAATTCAATATTTTGATCGAGGAAAAGTAAGTCAATTTATGAAGAATATTTATTGCTATATATTTAAAATTTGTTAGTAAAATGATTAATCATTTTTTGTTATTTGTAGTGTTGGGAAAAAGGATTACCATTACTTAAAGAATTAGCAGATTTTTATGAAAAACACTTGTTTGATTATACACGGTTGAGTGCTGTGTTAAAAATGCAAGCGAAATTCTGTGATAATATTCTTACACAGTTGCGTCCCGAGTCAGAATACTTTCGTGTTGGTTTTTATGGACAAGGTTTTCCTCTATTTGTTAGGGTAAGTCAATTGCACAAAAAATATATCTATATATTAAATGTAATTAACTCATCTAGTTTTTTTTTAAATTATAGAACAAAATATTTGTTTACCGAGGTCTAGAGTATGAACATATGGAAACTTTTACTCAAAGATTACAAACAGAATTTCCAACAGCCCAACTACTGACCAAAAATACTCCGCCATCACAAAATATACTTCAGTCTGATGCTCAATGTAACAAATTAATATATTTTTTTAATTAAACAAAAAAATTAATTATAACTTTTATATTTTACAGATATTCAAATATGTAATGTTAAACCTTATCCAGATATTGGTCCACCATCATCTGACACACCACTAGCCATGGTGCCAGAAAAAGTGGGTCGCTTTTATGAAGTTAATGATGTGTGTACTTTTCAATTAGATCGACCTATGCATAAAGGGCTAGTAGATCGAGTAAATGAATTCAAAAGCCTTTGGCTAGAGCGCACCATTTTAGTTATAAGTGATCGTTTGCCAGGCATTTTACGTTGGTTTGAAGTAGTTAATACTACTACTGAGGAAGTTCCACCTGTCAAATTTGCTTGTGAAACTGTTGAAACTGTCAATAAAGATTTGAAACGTCTAATTAATCAATACACTAATGAACCTAAAAAAAATATAAATCCTTTAAGTATGAGACTACAAGGAACAATAGATGCCAATGTCATGGGTGGTATATCCAAGTATCAGTCAGCTTTTTTTTCTCAAGACTTTGTTCAAAACAACCCACAATACTACTCATATGTTTTACAATTAAGTTCATCCATTAATCGCCAGGTAGAACAGAATTTATATCCATTATAATAATATATTGGTAACTATTTTTTTTTT